GCCACCTTAGGTGTACGTGGCTGGCGCCTTAGCCGGTTGAGCTATAGGCGCCGAGCCCAAAGTGAGCTTTCTAAAATACAAATTGGGCCTCATGGCCACCATGATTTCTTTGTGTGTGTGTGTGTGTGTGTGTGTAGACTCTGTCCCCCAGGCTAGAGTGCTGTGGCATCGTCATAACTCACAGCATCTCAAACTCTTGGGCTCAAATGATCCTCTTGCCCAGCGTCCCAAATAGCTGGGACTACAGGTGCTTGCCACCACACCTGGCTAGTTTTTCTACTTTTATTAAAGACAGGATCTTGCTCTTGCTCAGGCTGGTCTCAAATTCTTGAGTGCAAGCAATCCACCTGCCTCAGCCTCCCAGAATGCTTGGATTACAGGCATGAGAAATTGTGCCTGCCATCTAGCTTTCAACCTTTCCTGAGCCCCCTATTGCTCTGAGACCAAGTTCAAGGCCCTTCCTATGGACTTTGGGATCCAGAATGAGTTGACCCTGCTCAGCCCTCCAGTTTTACCTTCCCTTCTCTTTCCCTGGAGTCCCTTGGTTTCTGCCATATTAACTTCCTTTCAGTGCCTCCTGCACTTTCTGCCTCAATGCCCCTGCACTGCTGTTCCCTATCCCTGGAATGATTTTCCCTAGATCTTTGCATTGTCCCCTCCTCAGAAAGGCATTCGCTGTCCATGCCACCTAATGCACATTCTTTTCATTATTCTCAATGCCCACTTTCTTTCCTTCCTAGCACCTAGGTGTGTAATCTTAAGGAGTTACTTTGCCTCTCTGGGCCTCAGTTTCTCTACCTATAAAAAGGATATTTTATTTTTTGGGACAGTCTTACTTTGTTACCCCTAGCAGAGTGCTGTGGCATCATAGCTCACAGCAACTTCAGACTCCTGGGCTTAAGCTGTTCTCTTGCCTCAGCCTCCCAAGTAGCTGGTACTACAGATGCCTGCCACAACACCTGGCTATTTTTAGCAACAGGGGTCTTGCTCTTGCTCAGGCTGGTCTTGAACTTGTGATCTCAGGCAATCTGCCTGCTTCAGCTTCTCAGAGTTCTGGAATTACAGGCATGAGCCACCATGCCTGGCCAAAAAGGACATTTAAAAAAAGTTTTTATTTGGGCTCAGCACCTGTGGCTCAAGTGGCTAAGGCGCCAGCCACATACGCCTAAGGTGGTGGGTTCAAATCCAGACTGGGCCTGCCAAATAACAATAATGACTGCAACCAAAACATAGCCAGATGTTGTGGCGGGCGCCTGTGGACCCAGCTACTTGGGAGGCAGAGGCAGGAAACTCGCTTAAGCCCGAGTTTGAGGTTGCTGTGACACTCTACTGAGGACAACAAAGTGAGATTCTGTCTCAAAAAAATAAGTTTTTATTTATTTATTTTTCAAGAAATGGAATATTTCTCTGTCACCCAAGGTAGATAAAATGGAAATGAAAGCAGTGCTGGACGAGTGTGGTGGCTCACATCTGTAATCCCAGCACTTGGGAGGCTGAGACAAGAGAATCGCTTAAGCCCAGGAGTTTGAGGTTGATGGTACGGCACTCTACCAAGGTGACAAAGTGAGACTCTGTCTCAAAAACAAACAAACAAAAAAAAAACAGTGCTGATTTCCTAGGGTTGTGGTGAGGATTAGGTAAGTGAGTTTGTGTAAAGTGCTTAGAACAAGCTCAGTCCATAGGAGGCTCTCTATAAAGCTAGTGTCTTGGTCCCTGTGAGCTGTATGAGAAGCTGTTTTGTTCCTGACAATTTCTTTCTTTCTTTTTTTTTTTTTTGAGACAGAGCCTCAAGCTTTCCCCATGGGTAGAGTGCTGTGGCATCTCAGCTCACAGCAACCTCCAACTCCTGGGCTCAAGCGAGTCTCCTGCCTCAGCCTCACAAGTAGCTGGGACCACAGGCGCCCGCCACAACGCCCGGCTATTTTTTGGTTGCAGCCATTGTTGTTTTGGTGGGCCTGGGCTGGACAATTCTCCGACAATTCTCCAGGGACCTGGTACATACCGTGTTTCCCTGACTTATATTTATTTTTTCTCAAGAAGACACACTGGCTCTGCACCTGTGGCTCAAGCCGCTAAGGCACCAGCCACATACACCTAAGGTGGCGGGTTCGAATCCCCAGCCCGGGCCCGCCAAACAACGATAGCTGCAACCAAAAAATGGCCGGGCGTTGTGGCTGGCGCCTGTGG